GACAGGGATGAGACGGAGGTCGTGCCTGGAGTCAGGAGATTCGTCGAGCAGCATCTAACAGATATTTCCGCAGTGCTCGAGCAGCTGGACGATGCCAATTTAACAGTTAGCGGAACAAAGAGCCGATGGGTCGTTTCAACTATAAAGATCTTGGGCTTTATATGTGACTCGAAAGGGCGCCGAGCAGACCCGGCAAAGCTAGACAAACTTCTGAACTGGCCATCACCGCTACATAGCCCAACCGAGGTCCGGCAGTTTCTAGGAGTGGTCGGATACTGGCGGATATTCGTACGAGGATATGCGGAGAAGGCTGAGCCCTTGAGGATACTCCTTCGAAAGACTGAGAAATACTACTGGGATTCTTCACAGGAACTCGCAATGCAAGAACTTAAAGATGAATTTAAGGAGGGAGGACGCGTGCTGGGAGTGCCATTCTTTGACGACGAAACCGAGAGACCCTTCATAGTATCCACGGATGCTGGACCATGTTCAGTGGGAGGTTTGCTGTCCCAGAAGGACGCAGGAGGGAAGGAGAGACCGTTAAGATTCGAGAGCAGAACACTTAATACGGCTGAGCGTAATTACAGTCAGTTCAAGAAAGAGGTGTTAGCTGTTCTACGGTGTCTAGATACGTTCAGACACTATATCTATGGGCGACGGTTTATCTTGAGAGTAGACCCTACCGCAGTTGCTTCAGTCCTCCAGAAGGACTTTAGTTTGACAGACCCGACCATCGCCCGATGGCTGATACGGATTCGTCTATACGATTACACAGTGGAAAGGATATCTGGCACTAAGAATGCCGTGGCAGATGGACTTTCGCAGATCCCTCTTGAAGCCGAGCGCCCGATAGTAGCTGGGGCTCTGACGCTGGCGGAGCCAAGACGCGCTGAGAGATTTCTGGTTAACCTTTACGAGGGCAAGTACCGAGCGATCGGGCTGCACCTGATGGGTGAGGAGAGTCCAGATTCAGATATTCGGAAGCAAGCTATCAAGTATTGCCTTAGAGCGGGCCACCTTTTCCGGAGACCTGTAGGGTCAGGGATGCCCTTACGGGTGGTCTGTGATTCTGAGGAGAGACAGATAATAGTTGCAGAGCTTCACGACGGGGTAGTCGGAGGACATAGGGGAATCAAAGGGACCTACGAAAAGGTACGCAGGCTGTACTGGTGGGAAGGACAGTATAAGGACATCGAGAGGTACTGTATGACGTGCGAAGAGTGTCAGAAGAGAGCTCACGTGAGATACAAAGAGCCGCTTCATCMCTCCTATCCGACCAGGCCAGGAGAGAAAGTACACATCGATCTAGTGAAAATGCCGAAAGGAGTAGGAAATATGAACTATGTCGTGAACATACGAGACGATTTCACTGGGTTCGTCGACGGTAAACCTATCAGGAGTAAGGCAGCGAAGGAAGTAAAGAACTTCGTCCTTGAGTATTTATCTAGGTATGGTTGCGTCGGCAAGATAGTGATGGATAGAGGATCGGAGTTCCTGGCTGACGAGGTTCAGGATGTGTTCAAGAGAGCCGGGGCAAGAGTTTCGATAGCCACAGTCTATCATCCACAGTCAAACTCGCCAGTAGAGAGAGGACACCAGACTCTGACAGCGTCTTTGTCCAAGTGGTGCAAGGGTAAGGACAGTGATTGGCCACGATATTTTCGATATGCAATATGGGCGGACAACGTCACGGTCCGGGCTAGTACCGGATACCCACCCTACACTTTGTGGTTTGGGCGACACTGCCCGCTTCCCATAGAGTTTCACGTCGATAGCTGGACAACCGTCGATTGGGCGGAGGAGATGTCCAGGGAGGAACTTATAGCTGCTCGGACAAGACAGATAGCCTATGGCTTGGAAGATAACCTCATGACAGCGGCAGATCGCCTGGCAGTGGAAAGAGACAAGGGTAAAGAGAGATGGGACAAGGATGTGAGAATCAGGAGAGAGAAGGKGAGTGTAGGAGATATGGTBMTTCTCTACGATGCCGCGCTTGAAAGGACTTGGACGGGAAAACTCGCCAACAGATGGATGGGGCCTTACAGAGTGGTTGAGGCACTTGACTGGGGAGCATATATGATAGCGGAGTTGGACGGATCAAAGTGGAGAGACCCAGTGGCGAGAGCCAGGCTAAAGTTGTTTAGGCCCAGGCCCGAGGCCGCTTTGTCGTTAGCCGACCCGAAGGGGAAAGGAAAGGCCAAGATGGAGGACGGAACTCCCCTGAGGCGATATGAGGCAGGAGAGAGTTCCAAGAAGAGGAAAAGGGTAAAAAACAGAAAGGTCAAAGAGTTGGCTCTAGGAAGAAAGAAGGGATGGTTATTCGTGCTTACGAGGGCCAAACGAAGAGTCCGCATCCGACAGACTGGCGGTGTAGCACCCTTCTCGGGCCAACGACAGAACAAAGGGAGGATCCTGCCAAGCCCGAGGACTCGGCGGGAAAGGAAAGTCAGGGAGCATCCGCTTAGCCCCAGGACCAGGAACAGACTGAAACATAAGGCAATTAAACGCCAACTAGGGCGCCCTTTACGGGCCATTATCCTGAAGTTCGTCCGTTTCGTTTGACGTGAGGGAACTGGCCTCGACGGGGGCGTCGAGAAGTGGTCCGGGCTAACTGTCAGGCGGCCACAAGTAGTGCGCCGCCTGAAAACGGCAGTTTAGGGGCTTAAGCTCAGGGTTAAGTCCGCGTTTTGACAGTACTTTGGGATGACCGGGCTGCAGGAATTATGAGAACTCAGGGTACCCCTGATTCTGGATGCACTAGATTTTAAGAGTAACCCCCAAAGACAGCAAGATGGATGGGTGCACTGAGCACAACTAGAGACCGTCATTTCTGGTCGCTCAGAGGACTGGGACCGTTTTGGCTTGCCGCGGAGAGGGATCGCGGAAACAGACCTCGCCGCAGCGGTTTAACGGCATACAACCGGGGCTGAAATGAGGCCTCGGATTTTTGTCTTTTTAAACATCATAATTAAAAATAAAAGAAAAAGATTAAGGCCAGAAGAGGAGCGGAGAAAAACGCAATATTCTTCATTTTCTTTATTTTTCACTACATTTAATCTTAGGGGAAATTCCCTTGTTATTTTATGTTTTCGACAATGAAATTAAAAAATATGTATATATATATATATATATATATATATTAAAAATAGTAAAAGGGAAAGGAAACAAAACGAAGTTGGTTATTTATATAAATTTTTTTGAGATTTGAATTTGGTAAACTTACGATTAATTTGTTATTTTCAACGATAGAATTAATAAAAGAAGAGAATGATGAAAAGTGATGGAAAAGACGAGAACACATGATTATCGGAACGGTGGACTGATTTCGCCTTGATCAACCGCCACTACCTCTGAACCCAGATTGAACGTTTTTCCCRGATTCTGATGATTTTCACTGCCGCCGATGGTCGGGGTTCCCTGGGTCGCTTTCCTTGGGTTGGCGGAGAGGCTACGTCCTACGGTGTCTGATGTGACTCAGGCGCGGTATGGTCCCGGTGGTAGTTGTTTCAATACGGTGACTTATTTTCAG